AGGGAGGGAACACTGCTAGATAGGTGGAGTCAAGTATTGATATGAATGAAGGGAAGGGCGATGTACCAAATGTGAGTAATCACATTTGAGGAAGAGGAAGACATAGAAAGATACATGGGAGGTACAGACAACAAAGATGAACCCTTTTGCACATACGGCACTGTATTATCAGTGATAGCAAACATTTTCTTATCTATGGGTAGAGATATGGGGAGACAGGCAGAACTATTAGGTGTATCTATGCAGGGGGTAGTGTGCCCATGACCATGTATAGGGTTGGCAGGCAATGTTTCTACAAATGTTCTTGTATGTTTCTAGTTGAGCTGACAAGGGACAAGGTTGTAGTGACTTCTTGGCCACAGCCAGCTACCCTGAGGGAGCAAGTAGTTGGACCTGTGGGCTCGGGACTGTGGTCACAGGAGACATCAAGCTCAACTGGCATAACGTACTACACAAAAACATTGATCTATGTCCTACTTTGGTGAGTAGCAACTAGGGTCTTAAAAGCTTACAAGCGGCCATCTAGATGCAAAGGTGGGTCTCTCCTCACCCAAAGCAAAGAAGAATGAAGAAACCAAAGATTCATGGAAGGAATTAGCCTAAGGGACTGGTAGACCATGCAGTCCTCAGCCTATATGACCATGAAACCAGAAGAATTGGATGGTGTCTGGCTGCCACTGTCAACCACTCAGAGGGGGATCTATGTAGAAGATCCTGAATAGAGAGGAAGAACAATGTGGAACAAACTCAAAATCATTTTTTTTAAAAAAAAAGGTCGAGGTTTGCTGGTCTGATAGAGCCTGGTGGATCCCCTGAGACTATGGCCTCTAGCTGCCCTTTGGGTCTGGAATTGAACCCACTCCTGTGGCTTCCAGCCAAGTAAATGACAGGCAGATGAGCTGAACATTTACATTAGGTAGATACTCTCCTTGGAGAGATCAATCATGGGAGACTAGAAGGGCAGTATATGCACAGGGAGACGGCTCGGGGGCAGGAGTGCATGGGAGGGAAGGACACAGGGAAGAGGTAGCTATGGGGGGAGAAGTGGGAATAGAGCTGTTATACTGTGGGAAATTGCAGCCAATGTCGTAAGACAAAATAAGTATGAACTGCTATATTATAGGTGAATTTGCTCTGTAAACTTTCAACCAAATCACAATAAAAAAATATTTTTTTTAAAAAAAGTTGGTCTTTCAAACCAATTATTGCAAATTTTCCTGGACTTCTCTTTTATAGGGCATTTTTAGATATGAAACTGTGGTAACATGACATCAATGTGTAACACATCAATAATAAGTTCACACAATCACTAATTCAAACAACAGAAAGAATTTTTATGGCATTACTAGTTAAGACTGTCAAAGTCTGGCAATAAAAAGATAGTCTCAATTCCTCTTCTTCCCCACACCATTGGCAATTTTTCTGAAGTAGATCAACAGACCTTTCTCCCTAGTCTGTCTTAGTCTGGAAGCTCCACTGCTCATCATCATATTAACACTCAAGCCAGAAATCCAACCCAGGTCTCCTGTGTGGAAAGCAAGAATTCTACCATTGCACCACCTCAGTCACTCTTAGTCTCAATTCCTTTTAAATTTATTTATTTTCAACATGAGTAGTTTGTAATACCATGTACAATGAAATGGATCTAATATTTTATATCTTTTTTGAAGTTTCTACGTAGATAAATTTACATATCATGAGGAAAACATCATTTGCCAATGTCTCTCAAATTTTGCTTCAGAACTATTTAGTGATTGATTTTGAATATGTGTTCCATTATACAGGGAAGATTTTCAGTGGGTTAGTAGATTTCTTCACCAATGCCTTTGATTAAGTCTTAAGTTTAAAAGCTATTCTGTTTTATAACATGTTTGTAATGTTTGCCTCCACAGAGCCTTAGTTTATAAATATGCCAGTTCTTTAATTTTGATACTTGTCACTTTGGTCTTTATACAAAATGATAGAAGTACTTTAAAATTAATCACTGTTTCTTATTTCTATAACTTGTCTGAGCCATGATTTAGTCCTTGAAGATACAAATATAATTTGTATTAAAGAATAGGAGTTCCTCAAAAAGTTAAGCATAAAATTACCAAATGGCCCAGAAATACCACTCCTAAGTATAAACCCAAGAGATCTGAATGCAAGAACTCAAATACAGTCATACCACATATAATGTCCATTTGGGCAACATCTACACATCCATGGTCCCAAAAGGTTGTAACAGTTCAGAAATCCCAATCAGAGAACAGAATGAGTAAATGCACATGTATCTCAAGTCTCTTGTATACAATACAATTGTGCTGCCAAGCATATAATGGTACAGTGCATATATAATCTATAATATGTATGTCTTGATCATCATAATAAACACATTACTGGCTTACTTATGTACTGTACTGTACTTTCTATCTAAAAAGTTTACCATATAACAGTGTATGCTTCAACTTGTAGGCAGCAGCATCCTATCTTGTGTATTACATCTCTCTTGAGTATTGTAGCATTCTCTCTCTGTTTAATTTTCCTTTGAAAATATTACCATGAAGTACATCATGGCTCTCAAACACAAAAGAACCAGTCCTAGTGATAACAGTAGCAAGAGACAAAGGGTAAGTATCGATTTGGAAGTGAAATAAAAGGTTATTAAACAACACGAAAATGGAAAATCAGTGAATACTGATACTATAATATTGCTCACGATTTAGGCATGTCGCACTCAACAATCACAAACCAAACCAAACCAAACCAAACCAAATTCACTGCCATGGAGTCAATTCCAACTCATAGCAACACCCTTTGTGTCTCCGAGGCAGTAAATCTTTAAGGAAGTAGATTGCCCAGCCTTCCTTCTGTGTAGTGGCTGGTGGGTTTGAACCTCTCACCTTCTGGCAAGCAGTCAAATGCATTAGGCACTACATTGCCAAAGCTCCTTTAACAAACATAACGATCCTCAAAAACAAAGGAAAAATTCTCCTAGCTTTGAAAGGACCGGCTCCATAGAAAGCAACAAGGCTATTGAAAATGTGAGAGGGATCTATATCGGATATGGAGACTTGCTAATGATGTGGATTGATGATTAAACACAAAAGTGAATCCCTCTCAGCACATTTGTGGTAAAGCAGAAAGCTTATTCAAGATGCAGGATCAGACTACAATACGGTGTTCACACAATGGCCACATCACATAACACCCTATTTCATAAAACATATCATGAACATTAAGTGATGCATGACTGTAGATTCTTCAGCAATGTACATCAATATTTGTTGGCAATAGTCAAAAGATGGGAACAATTCAAGTGTCCATCAACAGAAAAATGGACAAAATGTATATGTATACAATGGAATGTTATTCAGTCATAAAGAGGAATGAAGTTCTGATACATACTACATCATGGATGAACCTTGAAAACATTCTGCTGAGTGAAATAAATCAGACACAAAAGTATTGTATAATTGCATTTATATGGAATGTCTAGAATAGTCAATTGCATAGAAACAAAAGTATATTAGTGATTACCAGATGCTGGGGGGAAGGGAAAAAGGGAAATTATTGCTAAAGGGGTACTGAGTTTCTGTTTGGGGTTATGAAAAACTTTTGGAAATGGAAAAAAAAATAAACTCACTGCCGTCAAGTCTTTTCCACTCATAGTGACTCCTCCTTGGGTTTCTCTACAGAAGTAGATCACCCAACCTTCCTTCTGAGGAATGGCTGGTGGGTTTGAACTGCCAGCCTTCTGGTTAGCAGTGAGATGCCTTAGGCACTATGCCACCAGTGGTGGTGAAAGCACAACATGATGAATACGATTAATGTCACTGAATTGTACACATAAACATTGTTAAAATAGCTAACTTTTATTATATATATTTTACCACAATAAAAGTTTTGGTAAAGAAATGATAGTAATCCTCCAATAATGAAACCATAAGATAATAATGTAGCATTTTCCTCAGCAATCAAATGGGATGTGAATTGCTATTTTGTTTTAACATAAGCTCCTCATGTTCTTGAATATACTAAATTTGGTTCAGAGTTGATGAAACCCAAGGATGTCACTGATACCTTACATGTACATAGCACTTCATGGTTAACAAAGCACACTTAAAAGTACTTGAGGTTTATAACCTCTGTGTGAGCTTATTCACCATTATATATGCAATGTTAAAATAGCCTTAGTACAAGAGGGATTTTATAGCATTGTGAAGAAGGCCCTAATGTTTCAGTTTGCCAATTTAGACCATGAATTACATCCACAGAAGTGAGAGAATGACTCTCTACATAGCTATGTAGACACACGGAACTTATTTGAGGTCTAATAGGTATACAAACACAATGACTGGGCCCCTGTATAGAAAAATTGTAAGAACTTGTGGAAGAATGCGTGTTAGGGTCTGAAAAAACCTGGGAAGCATGATAACAAAATAGACACAATAAACAGTAAGAGTAAGAATATACTGGTGGGTGTGCAATAATTTCTTTGAAATAATCTTATAATTTTCTATATTACTAAAACAAAATCATAGTCAAGTTTTGTATCTCATCAGATCACATACATTTTGCTTAATGGATGTGTTTGCTCTCTCCTTTATTTCCTCTTGCATTTCAATACAAAAAAATTGAAAGTGTCTTTTTGAGAGCAGTTCTAATTTAAGTTAGATATATTCTAAAGTAGATCTCTGTGTAACGCAGAGCAAGTCATAGAATTTCTGGATTTTTGTTTTCTCATGTGTAAAATGTGGAAAATATTAGCTCACAGAACTCTTAGTGATGATAACATAAGATAATAAAAGTGAATGAATTTTATAAATTCTAAAGTCCTGTTTACTTAAAAAAAATGAGATGAAATATTAATCATTTTCTCTGACCTGGGGCCTCTGTACAATATCCTAACACTCTGTCATCCACCTTCACACCTTCCATTGCTAGACTGAGCAAGTGATAGCATGGCTTTTGTGGAAAAAAAACCAGAAATTAAGAAAACATCCTATTTTCTCTTTTAGCTGTAGACTTCAATGTAACAAAAATTTTAAAGAACTCCAGAACCTGTGTGATGCCCACATCCAAGGAAGAATCAGGATTACCAAAACCAGCTATGAAAATTTGGAGAAAAGTAATTATTTTAAAACTGCTCTTACTTGTTTAATTTGCAATGTAATTAGTTGATCCAGCTTCATGTAGTAAATAGTGGTTATTGCATTCTTCACATATATTTTAGCAAAAAAAATAAATAAATAATAATGATCAAAAGTATTTATGGGGGGTGATTAATCTTTATATTAAAGTCTTATTTTATTCTGAAAATATCCTCATCGCTAATGACAAAAAAATTACAGCATTTACCTTTCTTCGCAACTTCTTCTACTGAGTCAACTTACAAAGACTCCTAGATGTTGTCACAGAACTTGATCTCAATCAGCCTAAGTCAGAGTTGCAGGGAAACCTTCAAAGGAGTATCAGCAGTTGTTGATCTGACCCGCCTCTCAAGCCACTGTCCAGAGATAACTGACCACATTTAAATACTGCTATACTTGAGTCTTGAATATTTAGTATCTCCACATTCCTAAAGGTGCCTGTTGTTAGGTACCATTGAATTGATTTCATAACAACCCTATTTACAACAGAACAAAACACTGCCTGGTCCTGAGCCATCTTCACAATTGTTGCCATGCTTGAACCCATAGTCACAGCCACTGTGTCAATCCATCTCGTTAAAGATCTTTTTTTGCTGATCCTCTACTTTACCAAGTATGATATGCTTCTCCAGGGACTAGTCCTTCCTGAAAACCTGAGCAAAGTATAAGAGATGAAGTCTGGCCATTCTTACCTCTAAGGAGCGTGCTGTCTGTACTTCTTCCAAGACAGATGGGTTAGTTCTTCTGGCAGTCCCCTGCATATTCACCACTCTTCACCAGCACCACAATTCAAATGCATCCATTCTTCTGCAGTCTTCCTTGTTCATTGTTCAGCTTTCACATGCATATGAGGCTATTGAAAAGAAGACAAAGGAAGGTGCCTGGAAAATAGAAATCCCATGGATTTGCCACTTTATGTTGATTTTGCTAAGATTTGACAAGGTTAGTTCAAATTTTATTGGTTTCTAACTCTAGATTTGATCTCAACTTGGAAAATTTCGTTTTAAATCTCTTCATCCTTATTCAACTTTTCTCTGAAATATCTAATGAGGTCTGACCACTTATTTAAAATTATAAATTATGTCTACATAAAAACCATTCTCTGAAAAAATCAGTATTCATAATTTCCTGGTCTTTAATAATCCAGATATATAGATTGTCTCCTACTGTATTCCAACCTTCACAATGCTGAGAAAGAAATGTTTGTGAGTATTTAGGATAGAAACTGTGAATCTCTAACAGTTGGTTTTGCGCCATTGACCATGAAACACCATTTCTTCTCTTGGGGACAAGACTGATAGTTTTAGAAATCAGGGAAATATACTAGAAATTGTATTTCTGGTCTTCAACATGCACTAAAATTGGTCTCTTGTAGACTCTTTACATGTTGAAGAAATATAGACAAATAGATTTGTAACTGAGCATAGAAAGCAAATTGGAGCTAGGTCATATTGCTACATGTTTGGCCCTGTCCTATGCCAACTGAAAATGTGGTTGACATTTTTATTAGATATATAGAAGTCATAAAGCTTAGGAGAGTCATGAAAATATTGAATGACCAAACACTCACAATAGCCTAGAATAATAGACCTAATCTCAGAAGATGAACATTCATTGGAGGAAAAGCACAAAAGTCTAAAATTACAGCTGTACAAAGTATAGGATAATAAAGCCTTGGCTTACAAACAGCATGATTTGGAAATCATTTTTAATGGAAAGCTCAATATGTGTCATTAAAGAATGTGATTGACCCCAAAACCTATTCTGTGCTATCAGACAATAATTAGTGTATTATGTTCATTTCAGAGTCCTGCATTGTAAAAGGAGAGTGTAGACAAACAGAAGTGTTCTGAGCAGAAAGTAGTCAGGATAATGAAAGGCTCTGAAACCATACCACTTGACCAGTCATCAAAAAATTTAAAGATATTTTCATTGGAAAGGGAAAGATTCTGGAAGCCATAATAATATACAGGGGGGCTAGACCTTTTCTAGGTGGCTCAAGAAGTATAACCTTTACCAAAAGTAAAAACTATGGGAATACAGATTTAAACTCAATATAAAAATTTTCTGAACATCCACGCTGTCTAAATGTTGAGTGGGTGTTTGTAGATTCCCTGTCACTGAAGTGACACACATTCAAACCTCAAAAATCAAAGTTTAGCTTTCTAATGCTAAACCATTATGCCTTAAAAGGTAAGCAGAAAAATTAGGCATCAAAACATCCCACTGACTTTCTAGTTCATCCCTTGTGACCATCACAAAGTTTAGAGTGTTGTTTGATTCTTCAAATTTAGTGCTGAGATTACTTTTGACTACAAAAGTCTTGTTTTACGGAATCTTAAAGTTCTCAGACATTTTTCTGCCATTATCTTTAATACCTAGTTCTGCTCTTGCCTGGCCAGGCTACCCTTAAAAATCAGAGATCCTTCTAGAGGAAACAGGAGATGAAAACTATGGTTTCACTAATTTAATAGCTAATAACTACATAAAAATAACAAGGATATCTATTTCTAGAATTTTTTTGTAAGTTCTATCTTACCAGACCCAAGAAAGAAGTAAGAAAATTATCATGAACCATCTCTCTAGATAGGCAAGATTTTCTTTTAATCCAGACTGAGCTTAGGCTAGTTTTGCATGAGGTTTAAAGATCAGGCCAGATAGTTATATTATGTTCATGATGAGAATTCCAATGGGATATTAAGAACATATAAACAACATATGTTTCAAGATTCCTAACAGCTCCAGAATTATTTCAATAAGCGTTAGGATTTTCATAATCAAAAACAATTCTTTGATGATGAAAACTTTATGTCAGTAACAGATATATTTGCTGTGATGTCAATCTTTTTCTCATCTTAATAGGAATTTTTTATCAGTGAAAGCAAATGAGAAGAAAAACTTATTTCCCTACAGAAGTGGGAATTAGAATTAACAATAAATCTCTCATAAAATCATTAAAAGAAAATGAGGGAATACTTAATATATGAGTAATTGCTTTACTGGCCTCATCCCCCATAAAGACTCAATAATAGAATCTTGGAGCAATTATATCTATGCTTATTATTTTCTGGTCATAGACTTCTTTGCTGACAGGTTTTTTTTCCATCAACACTTTGAATATGTCATGCTTCTGGCCTCCATTGTTCTGATGAGAACTCAGCTATTAATCTTATTACCGTTCCATTGTATGTGATGAGTTGTTTTTCTCTTGCTGCTTTTAAGATTTTCTCTTTGTCTCTGGCTTTCAACACTTTGCCTATATGCAGATCTCTTTGAATTTATCCTATTGAGTTCACTGATATTCTTGGATGTGTTTTCATAAAATCTGGAAATTTTCAGCCATTATTTCTTCATATATTTTTTCCCATTCTTTCTCTCTGAGGCTCTATTTATTTTTCTCCATTAGTTTTTGTTGTTGTTATTGTTGTTCAACCTGGATAATGTCTACTGATCTGTTTTCAAGTTTGTTGATAAACTAAGAGGCTATGAAAGCCTTACTGCATAGACTCATAGACTCTTATTTTAGTAAATTCCTTTTATTGAAAGGATGCTTTGCAGAATTTTCTTTTACTTCAACATATCAAATAAAATTTTATCTATAGTTATAATGCACTTAAGTTTAATTTACAATTCTTTAGAAGTAATCATTGACTTGATTTTGTTTTTTTTCCCTTTACAGTTCCATTATCTTAGCACTGGTCCAGAGTTTAACCGTGTTCTCTTCAATTTTGGAGGTCAGAGTCCACTGATTTTATATTACCTTAAGATGCATGAGCTAGCTGGTATTCCCAATGCCCCTAGACAAACAAAGGTCAAACTCACTGAAATATTCCGAGAACCATATCCTTTTTTAAGTTTTGCTTTAATATTGTCTGTTTCTAAAGTATTAAAAACTTTTTACTAAATGTCTCGACTAAGAAAAAATTGAGCACATTCTTTATGCATTTATTTAGCACTTATATGTTCAAAACTTTTTTTTTTTAAAGCATATATAGCTAGTTTCTCCTTCAGATCTAAGGTTGTGATTTTTCATGTAATAAAAAGTAAAACAATCAGATGAAAACTCAGGAACTTATAAAGCTGATATATTTGCTCTCTGGTAAATAACTATCTTTATAAGTTTGCCATTCAGTGTTAAGTTTCAGATATTTATCAGAACTGTGGGTCAGGGGCTTCTAGCCTTTTTCAGAGACTATTTCCAAATATGTGGAAACCTTTGTTCAAATGAAAATTTATCAGAAAAATGAATATGTAAAAGAAATGAAACTGGCCCTCCTTTGGTTGTAGTGTGGACAGGAGCCCCGAGTGCTGTCTACTTGCACTCGCATGCTCCCTCAACATACACCCATCCAGCCTCAGCATCCCTGGGGACTTAGATAACCCCTAAAGACATATGTCTAGTACAAGGGTCCCAAATTGCAATGTATACAGCCCTGGGTGGAGAAACCCAATTTGGACTCCTTATATATGTCTATTTCTATTCTCAAAAGTAAGAAATCAGTTCAGCTTTACTACTATTTAGTAAACAGCTACCCTCACTGCGTTGGTATTTCCATTTGTACTTTACTTTGTTGGTGGTTGATGATGGCTTCTTTGCTCTTGCTTTGTTTTCTGAGGATCACGATATATTGCTGTGCTCTTTGGCTGGTTAAGCAGAGTTATAGAATACATTGTCTAGTTCTAACTAAACTAATACTCACAGCTTAAAAAGTCTCCTGAAAATAAACCATGCATTGGTTATAATATTTATAATACAAGAGTAAATGAAAAAACAAGAATAGGCAGAATACTTCTTGAAGGAGCTCTTTTTCAGCCACACTAAGGATAAAATAAATGATCCTACATGTTCTAACGTATATAGCCCTCCACTGCAGAAAAAAAATTGAACTTTTTAGAAAGAGTATCTAAATTACAGATTTACATCATCATTATAAATAGTAATATGAACAATACTAATGATAGCAGGATGCCATTTTAATTAATGAGGTATTTAAAAACAAACTGTCCAGAATATTAATACAAATCTTTATTATTTGAGGACTAAAGATTTGGTGAGCCATTGAAAAAATGAAATCAGTTAAAATTTATTTTTAAGATATTTTTATTTCATCTCACTCTTTCGTATTTCTGGATTTCCTATGTATTATATGAAAGAGTCAAAAATGGCCTCCATATCTTGGCCCTAGATTATTTACTTCATATCAAGCTGAGGCCCATTAGCTCATAAAGTCAGTCTCATTGTTTTTTTAAATAGTCCAAACAAGAAGATTTTTAGCCACTTGGACCCTACCTACTTTACATACTCTGCAAAACTGTACCCAGGATCTGCTAGCCCTAGATAAGATAAAACCCTGTGGTTAAAAGGACTCTTCTGAGCTATCCGAGCCAGACATCTATTTTGTTGCAGAAGGGCATCATGCAAGGTGCATGTAAGCCCTCCTTCTCTTCCCTCTTCCTCAGAGTTTTTCATGTCCTCTTTTCTCTTTTGGTGCTTCTCTGCACTGCTTACCTTTGGAACACCTCCTCCAAGTATAGCTGTCAGTACCCCCACACTAATGCTGCTATCTCGTGACCACATATTTTCCTTGATCAGCCATGAAGTCCTTCAAACTTTCTATAATAGCTATTATAAAGTTGTATGCCTGAGAGGATCAAATGGGGGCCAGTGAACAGGAGTATACTCTAGACCAAGGATAGATTCAGGAGAGGCTAATCTTGCACAGACACAGTGATATAAAATACCTGCAATCCTTATAGAAACAATAGAAGATAGACACAGAGTAATCCCTCACAGACACCCAGACACTGTGGGAGAAAGATCCAACAGATCTACCATCTCAGGACCATAGTACTGGAGGAAACCAGACTAAATTGGAGCAACAAAATACAAGAAAGCCTTGTTCCTCATCCTACATTGGTGAGTAGCGACTGGGGTCTTAAAAGCTTTCAAGCGGCCATCTAAGATGCAGCTAATGGTCTCCTATAGTCAGAAGTAAGAAGAGTCCAAAAAAAAGGGGGGGGGGGAAACTTGGAGGCAATCAACCCTAGGACACGATGGCTCTCAAGACCAGAAGAACTAGATGGTGCCTGGCTACCAATGCCAACCACTCAGGAAAGGACCAAATCTGGAGATCCTGGATAGAGTGGGAGGGAAAACATGGAATAAAATCCAAAAATCCAATAATGACCAGAATTACTGGTCGAATGGAGTCTGATGAGACCCCAATACTATGGTTCTGGGATTCATTTTGGGCCTGGACTAATGCTCACTCCCAAGGGCTGACTCTCAGCCAAATAGTAAGATGTACACGCATACCACTCAACCCTGGGTGATGCACCCACATACTCTATGGAAATGCATCCCTTGGAACAATTGACCATGGGGCACCAGAGGGGCAACATTCACAGAGAGGAAATGCAGGACACACAGGAGTGCATAACTATGAAGGGCATGGGGGGAGGGGTTACTGGCAGGGAGGGGAGGACACTGGGTTAGAGTTGGACATGGAAAAAAAATAGCTATTACAAAGATGTATAATATGTTAATACAGACTGATGTGTATATAGTTTATAAATGTGAAATTCTACATATATAGGGTATGATCAAATATCTTTTACTAAAGGCATATATGTTCAAAAAGGTGTTGATGCCATGCATGGTTGTAGCAAATGTTAAAGACTCTTCCCGGGACACTTTCTCCCCTGTTTCATTCAAGACAACTTTAGAGCCTTTCTGACCACAAGAAAATGAAATTAATTTGGATGGATAGCCTGTGAATGCAAGAAGAAGAGCAAACTACAGGGCTCAATCAGTCTGTTCTCAGAGTTATAATCTAAGTAATGATGCAAGGAGTCTCATCAACCTTGGCTATCCAAAACAAAATAAAACACGAAGTGGGGAAGTGGAATTCGATTAGTTCTCAGTATCTAAAATCATTCATAATAGATTACTTTTAGTTTTAACTAGGTTTTATTATGACTTTAAAATGCTGATCTTAGATTTTGTTTACCTTTTTAATGGCATGGATTTGTCCAAAGGATGTGCACAAATTTGTACCACTAGGTTATAAGGATGTTGGAAGAGTGTGGGATCAAGGAAGGGAAGAAATGGAGGACTAAGGTGTGAAATCTTTTAGAAGAGGGTCTCACTCCACAAAACCTTGAAAGAAATTACCCTCTGGAAAGTAATGGGCTGCCAATGATGCTTTCTGAGCTGGTGAAAAGTTTTTCTAGACCTAATGATAAAATGAAAATGTTACTCCACATTCACCAGCCCGGCAGCTTCTAAAGCATTTCCTCCTCTGGGTTGTTGTGGTAAATGACAGGAGTCCTGTGACACTGGGCAGAGCAGCCCCCCCCCCGACCCCCACCACTTACAGATGAGGAAACCAAAGCACAAAGTTGAGTAGCTTGCCCAGACAATCCTTGCAGCAGAGCTGGCAGCAGACTTACGACTCCTGAGCCATGGCTGCTCTCCTGATATGTAGCAACCGACCCCCCACCCCAAGATATTGATAACTGCTAATAAGATTTGCATCCAGATTTTCTACAATTATCTGTGAAGATTGACTCTATTTCTATCTCGCCCACATTTTACTTTGAAGCTATTCCATTTTCTCTGTAATTATCAAAGTCCTGTAGCTTTCCTGAAGTGGAGAGGCAACCCCTGGTAGTGATTGCATCTACATACAGTAAAGGAGTGGGGGTAAGTAGAGAAGAAGAGAAGATAAATAATAAGTAAAAAGACTAATATAATTCTTCATATTTGAGGTAGACAGATTCTAAGATAGTCCCCAATGATCCCTACCTTCTTATATCCATGCCCTGGTGATGAGTGTGGCTGTGCCTAGTGACTTGTTTCTAATGAATAAGCCAAAAACCAAACTCACTGCCGTGATGTCTTTTCGACTCATAGCAACCCTTCCTTGGGTTTCTGAGGTGGTATCTCTATGGAAGTAGATTGTCCAGTCTTTTTTCTGAGGAGTGGCTGATGGGTTTGAACCGCTAGCCTTCTGGTGAGCAGTCAAATGCCTTAGGCACTATGCCACCAAAGCTCCCTTCTAAGGAATAGAGTGTGGCAGTCATATGAGATGTCACTCCTGAGGTTCAGTTACATAAAGACTGACATCTGTCTTGCTCGTCCTCTCTCACTGGCTCTCTGAATCCTCACTCTGAGGGAAGCCAGTGCCTGTTGTGAGCTGCCCTGGGGAAGCCCACACATCAGTGAAGGAAGGAAGGCCTCCAGCCAACAGCCAGTGGGAAACTGAGGCCTCCCTTATACAATATAATACAACAACCCCCATATGAGGGTCTGAATCCCACCAATAACCATATGAGGGAGCTTGGGATTGGATCTTGTCCTACTTGAGCCTTTTAAGGACTGCAGCCCTGCTGACACCTTGATTTCAGCCTATGAGAAACCCTGAGCCAGAGGACACAGCTGAGCTATGCCCAGATTCCTGACTCACAGAAACTGCAATAATAAATGCTTGTTGTTTTCAGCTGCTTAGCTTTCAGTTTAGTTATATAGTTATAATTTAGTTATGTTTAATTTGAGAGCTCTGGTGGCATAGTGCCTAAGGCAGCTGACTGCTAACAAAAAGGCTGGTGGTTCAAACCCAACAGCGGCTCCTCAGAAGGAAGATTGGGCAATCTATTTCCTTAGAGATACCACCTCAGAAACCCAAGGAAGGGTTGCTATGAGTCTAAATCGACGGCAGTGAGAGTTTTTTTGTTTTATGTTTAAATTACAGTTCTTTAAAAGTAATAATTGACTTGATTTTTATTTTTTTAATAGTCCCATTATATTAGCACTGGTCCAGAGTTTAACCGTGTTTCCT